GCCCCCGAAGCTCTAGGGTCCCGGCAGCCAGAAGCTGCAACTCCGTCGTTTGTGTAAGCGCCGGGGCGCCAGGCCTAGACTTCTAAGTGGCCGGACACTAGCTGTGAGGTTCCAAAATGTGTCCACGTAAGAAACGTCCAAACCTGGAAGAATTTTTAAAAAATATTTTTTATTACTGATAGTGTTACAGGTATCTCCCTTTCACCCTCCTGTCGCCCCTCCCAGGCCCTCCCCTGCCCTGCCCCCAGGGCTTCCCCCTACGGCCCGGTCCAGGGCTGTGCTTGTAAGTATATAAATCTCCGGATTATCTCTTCTCCTCCCCCAACCCCGCCTGGGGGTCTGTCAGGCTGGTCCGTGCCTCCAGGCTCCGGGTCTTATTTTGTTGGTCAATTGAATTGACTCAATTCACTTTGTTCTTTAGATTCCACAAATAAGTGAGATCATGTGATATTTGGCTTTCTCAGTTTGGCTTATTTCACTTAACCTGTAAGAATTCTTATGAGTTTATTTGAGTCAAACTGACGACAATTGCTGGGAAGGAAAATCTCACTGAGAAAATGCTCCAGAGAACAGCAGATTTGCATCTTAGACATTACAATCAAAGGAGGAGGGAGGGGTAGGCGGGTGGGAGCGGCCGGGAGAGGTCATTGGGGGAAAAGGAGACAGATGCAATACTTTAAACAATAAGGAACTTAAATTAAAAAAAAAAAGGAGGCCCTAGCCAGTGTGGCTCAGTGGATAGAGCGCAGGCCTCTCCAGATTTCAGACCATCCTATGTGGTTTCGTTGGGTCTCTGAGTTTGTAAGGTTTGCATGCAGGCCTCCCCTGAGCTGTGGCCCCTCGTCATCCACAGCTGTGATTCCAGGGCCCTGAGATTTAACGCTGCCTCCCACGAGATGGCGAGATTCTGAGTCCCCCAGCCCCTTAGCCTGGAAAGCTGGGTGACGGACCCCCAGACGTCAGTGCCCCCCGCCCCGCCCGCCCCCGCCAGCTCTCCGGCACATTCCGTTCTCCCAGCGCAGCCCCGCCCTCCCTACTCCGCCAGCCCGGACGGAAACACCCCATCTCCACCCGCCCCGGGCTGAGAGGTCGGTCGAAGAGCCGGACCAGACGGGAGCGCCAGCGTCCCCCACGCCCTGGGAACTGGCTCTCCCGGTTTCTATCTGGTGACCTCACCTGGCCCCGCCCTCTCAGGTGAACTGTTGGTCCAGGTGACATCACTTCCTGCCAGGTAAGAGCGGGGGGCAGTTCTGCTCAGGAAAGGTTTGGAGCAACTATGGATGGATTCTCCCGGATTCAAAACAGGGCCACACCATCCTCCCCACTCCTCACTGCCTCTAGACCGGAGAAAAGCCAGGACTGGATTTTACACACAGATGACTTTTATTTAAAAATTCCAAAAAACACAAAAATAAACTTTAACAATATATATTACTTAATATATTATAGCATACTTATAATAATAATTATTCCATCATTTCCAACATTACAAAAAAGAGGAAGAAAAATATAAGGGAAGCAGACGACCCAATATATATAAATACTATAAAATCTATTAGAATAAATAAAGTCGTCATAAATAAAGGGCCCAATGGCTGGGGAGAGGGGATTGGCAATGACTTTGGCTACTTGCTTTCGGAGGGAAATTTGAGCACCAGGATTGACCCTCAAGGGGAAGGCTCCAGTCACCACCAGTCACACCAGAACCTCAGGGGTCTAGGAAAAATCGGGAGGGGCAGTAGGGGCCTATTATTCACAGCATTGGGAAGGGGAGCGGTGGCGTGGAGAGGGTTCACTGCTACCCTCAAATTTGCTACATATTAAAAAAAAAAAAAAGACTCCAGAATACACTCCTTCCTCCAACACCAGGAACACTGCGCTTGCCCACTGGGGACCTGCCCCAGAACAGGTCAGGGGAGTAGGTTAATGCATTTGGAAGGCAGTGAGGCTACTTGAGTTCCCCATATCCCCACAGCCCCAGGGCTTCTGTGGAGCCCAGAGCACAAGAGAAATGGCCCCCCTTGAGATACGGCTGATCTGTACTGGGCAGGCACTTGTCACTCAGACACTGAGATTCGATTGAAGATGGGGAGTCGCCGAGGGGCTACAGGCTGGGGTGGTCCAAAAACTCCAGCCTCGAAGACGGGTGAGTCAGACCCTCCCAGGCTGCTGCCGCTGCTGGCATAATCATCGGGATCAGATCCCAGGGAATGTGCAGAGGGGCTCCGAGCCAGGCCACCTACAGGTCCCCAAACGCTGCTAGGGGTGGCCCTTCGGCAGGAGGGACAACAGGCTGGTGTGGGATCCCTTAGGGCCACAGGAGTCCCAGGGGCAGCAGAGAAGGCAGAGGGTGAAAGTGGAAGGTCCCCAGGTGGTGGTGGGGAGCTGGAGGGCGAGAAGGAGCATGAGGACAAGGAAGGGCCTGCCAGGCCTGCTGGTGGCGGTGAGGATCTTCTGCCAGAGGGCAGGCCTGAGAAGCTGATGCTCTGTCGCAGCATATGGGGGTGGCCAGGGGAGGCCAGGTCTTCACTGGGGTTGTGGATGAAGTGGCAGCGTGAGCCGTAGGGGCAGCGGCCCTGGAGGTAGAACTTGTGGCAGAGTTCTGTCTTGTACTTGGGGTGGCGACTGGCTTGGCGCAACTCGCCCAGGCCATGGGCAAACTGGCACTTAGCCCCATAGCGGCAG